GCAACTGCAACTGCAACTGCAACTGCAACTGCAACTGCGACAGCAACAACAACCACCACCACGACCAACAACAACTAGACAACAACGACGAAGCAACAAGACTAAAAGCTAGAAGAGGGAGAACCGCAGGCGCAACCACAACCACAAGCGCCTAAGAGATGAGCTTGATACGGCGCCACTCGCACGCAAACACAAACACCCGGCGGAGAACGGATCGCATGGCCTCAATTGTCGGAATCATCAGGATGGGAGGCATGTTCTAGTATTGTCTAGGGCACACTGGTGTAAGTGCAGCTGTAAAGGTTGCGTGGGTCGCAGGGTCTCTGGACTGGTGCAATTGAAGGTGGGGGAAGGTGACTGCCCAGGCTGCCACTGAAGCGCTTTCGGATGGCAGCCCTTCTCCACGGGCCACTGCTGCAAGCCCCGAAACGCTGGAGCGACGCCGGCAGCAATGTGTGGGCCGCTTCCTGGCGCCAGCCTCAAAGTTGCCTTGTCAAATTGACCCAAAAAACTCCGCGACTCCTCGAGACCAAATCTGTCCGAGCGAGGCACGAGTGGTGGGGCACCGTGCCTGAGACCAGAGGCAGCTGCAGCCGGAGCGCTGCTCGCAATCAAATGCTTGAAGAAGCGCCCTGCTGGTCAGCAGAAAAAGAAAGGCCACGACGCAGTCAACCGAATCAAAGGATGGATGCCTTGTGTTTAGTTCAGTGCTAGCAGCCAGCATGTCCTGTTGGGAGAAATGCAGTCCTAATGTCCGTTCTGCTGATGGTGGCGTCCTTGGGGCATGCAGAGGGCAACAGCTTGGAGGACTGAACTGAAGGTCGCAACTCTAGCTACCCAAATAGCGGGTGGGAGATTCCCGAGTCAACACGTACAGAGCTTGTCAGGTGCACTAAACTCTAAACCCGGTGCGCTTCTCATAGTTGTCTCTTCAACTTCATCTCAATCGTCTTCACACTGGTGTTGCCCGAGTCCTTGGAGAGCGGAAACCGAGATGGCCGCCAGACCTCTGCGTTGTCGTTGATTTGTTGCCGCAGTGGGCTCCAACTTGTAGAGAGACGGGGTAGGGACATTCGTGGGCAAGAGATGGCAGGCGCGGGGAGTTGAGAGTATCCCTGCCTTTGCGGTGCACTCTTCTACGTGCCGGAGTTTTGGCTTTCCTATGTGGCAGGAACATGCCGGGGCATTGGCATCACCGGCACCGAGCACGTATAGAGGCGAGTCCGCATGGCGTCGTCACATTTCTGAGACTGTGCTTGCACCACATGGAACCGCCTGCACGGTGCAACGACGAGAACGAGAGCAATAGAAACGATAATGAGATGGTGGTTCAACGTTACCGGTTGTTGCTGTCCCTCGATGTGCGGCTTATGCTTGAAGTTTTACAACTAGTATGCAAGCAAGTCCGTCACAAGTGTTGACGCGCCGCTCCCGCTACCAGTAGAGCCGGACCCGGTGACACGAGCACTTTGAAGCGACAACTCGTCTTGTCCGGAAAGCAGAAAAACCTTAACTCAGAGGTGGTAGTGGTCGGCAGCCTGCGGATTTGATGTTCGCGGCCCGAGCCGGGACACCTGTGAACAATATGTTTCAGCACATAGGCGGCAGTTAGGAACAGCTCGCAGAAATCAACCGGCCTGCCGCAACCCCCTCCCCTTCCCTTCTACTATGGGGAGCCTTGCCAGCCGCGTGTGAGTGTGAGCGACGAAACCCAGAAGGGAATTCGGATACGGGAGTCAGGGCAAGGCTGTGAAAAGCGTGGATGGCATGGTGTTCGCCCTGTGGCAGGAAGCACTTCCAAAGTGGCTCGACTTGCCGTCTGAGCCTCAACTCCTACCTTGTGTCCTGTACTTGCACGGATGCTTTCCTGTGGCCCACCGGTAGGACGGTTTGTTCTATAGAAATCACAACTTGAGGTTCCTTGTTGACCAACATCCCCTTCTTGCAGCATTCGGTTATCGCATTGGGCATGCCAGATGATCTCCTGGTCCGGCCCTCAAACATCTTTGCCCACTCGACAGCCGTAGATTTCCATCAGCAGCGAGTTCTTGCCGTGTTGCGGGCAGAGCTTGGGAACGAGCTGGTGCTTCGTGGCATCGGACCCTGCTGTGCGCCGAGTGGCTCTGCATTCGCTATGGGAAGATCAGCCCCAGGCTCGGGTTGGATTTGATCGCCGAGTTGCTGTGTGACCAATCGTCTGTTTGTGGCCATGCGGCAGTTGTAGCTTTGCGGTAACGTGCAGTTGTTTTTGAGCTCTTGTTTCCAGCAATGTGGTAGATTCCGTGTTAGTCTGTTAGTCATCCTTTTCTGGAGGTGTGGACAGGATACCGGAAATGAAGGCTGCCGTCTCAACTCCAGTTTTGCAGTTTCTTGTGAGCTGCAAATTATTCGAGATCAGTTGTTATTTTGGTATCATGGTCCATGTCGTGTGTTAAATAAATGCATGGACGTGGCCGTGCCTAGCTCCTCCTTTGGCCCAGGTTCAAACCTGCACGAACGTGTGCAATCGTGTTCAAACTGGGGTCGGAATCTTAGAAATCATCCGGACGAAAGAATGGCTGAGATGTCTTGCGACAGATCTTGAGCCGGCTCAGGCGATATGAGCTCTGAGGTTCTAAGTGGATGCAAGGTGCGCAGTTCTCTCCATCGGGTACCTCTTTCAGTGTTTCAGGTCTATACAGCGAACGCTGCATGTTGGAAGGCCGAAGTTTTGCCGGCTGCTTCGCCAAGGAGTGGGCAACAATCAGGCGGCTGATGGGCTGGAGCTTCATGCTGCTAAGGTCACGCGCTGAGCATCTTGCCGGGATCCAGCTCGAGCCCGGGGCTCAGCCCTACATCTGCTAGTTGTTTGCAGTGTCTGCAGAGGGTGGCCCGGAGCTTTCGCTGCCAATTGCTAAAGAAGAGGTAGGCATAGACAGGGGGTGTAGTAACTGTGTCGCGGGGTTCAGAAAGAGGCTGCAAGGGCGGCCCGACCTGCCCCTAGCACCGCGCTATAGACAGGTCTCGATTTCGATTCCGGCCCATAATATTTTGTTCTTTTCGAGGGTTTGTCGATGAACGGGAACAAGCACAAACAAGTTTCGGCTTTGACATGAGAATCAACCTGACTTCAGTGTTGTCTCTCCTGTCTGCGACAAACAGAATCAGAAGAGAATCAGTCTGATGGGCAACGGAAGAGTTGAGGGTTCTAGGGCATTTTACTGGGTCAACACTCTCCGATCCCAAGGCAATCATGTACCTTATTGAGCCTCTTTTTCTTCTTGCCAGTCCATTTCTTGAGAGGAGGCCTACACTTATTTCACGTCACCACTAGTCTTGTGCGAAGATGTGACGACTCACTGTTTATGATAAGTTTAGCCTTCTAGGGCGAATTTGCATGAAATCTGCCTCTTTTTTCGGGTTTGGCAGACATTTGGGATTGGGGTTCATCTGCCAACTCGGTGTTTTGGAGATCAAGATTGAAATTCTGTCGAGCGACCCCGAAAGTTGGATTCGTTTGTCAACGATGCGGAAACCATTGCATGCCTTGTCACTTGATCTACTAAATCCTCCATTGCCCTTAGCTTGGAGTTGATTGTTGTAGTTTGAGCTAGATGTATTTTTCGTGTGCCGTCTGTCAAAATGTCTTTCAGATGTCTTTCAGTCTTTTGTTTTGCTCATTCGTTCTGTGGTTGATTGATTTCTTTTTTTTTCCTTGTGGGCTTTGCAGTTTATCGCAGTTGTACATGACAGGGTCAATGCAACAGATCTGCAGTTTGCTGTTGTCCCTGAAATACTGGTTTACGAGCATACGCTAGGCGCCAGCCTGCTTGTAAAACCAAGAACAAAATACCCGTCATATCACATCCACACAGAACGTTCAAACCACCCTGGTCGCACGTAGACGTAGACGTAAAGTGGAAGTGGTTCACTTTCAAGTTTCGAGCGGTTTTGCCGTTGTGGCGAGGCCCCTACCTACAAAGTTCCAGTGTGTTCCTTTCCGGAGAACCGTGAGCGAGCACGTAATGTTCCGGTTGCAATGTAAAAACCAAGAACTGATCTTGTTGACCGATTCGAGTCGGCTGATTCCCAGCAATGTCAGAGCATTGAGCTAGCTCGCTTGTGGGTTCTTACGTTTTGGTCTCGGCGACGCCCTCCAGCATGCCCTGCGGTGGTTCACCTTGTCCTGCTTTATTACAACGGGAACCCCTTGCTCATGTCCACTTTGCGGCTCATTGTAGCGCAATGTAGGTTATGCAAAGTGTTGGACCAGCAGCGGTTGCAAACTTGTATTTAGC